GCAGTAGAGTGCCTTAAGCACTATGCTGTCAGAGCTCCTTCAACCAGGCCTCGGAGGCCCCAGTTAAGTTATACTGGATCTTGGGAGGAGAGCATACACTCACCTCCCTCAGGGTTAAACAGGTAACTGTACCTTAAAAACTTTCCATCCTTTCTTCTTTCTCCTACCCCTGCAGAAAGGAGGAATTCTAATGATTCCTGTATATAACTCGGCCAAGCCCCAGCAGAGCTGGAAGGATACAAATAGGCCCCCAGAAAAAAATCATTCAATATTATGGCCCGGCCACTCGAACTAAGGATGGGAGTTGGGGGTATCTAACCCCAATTTACATACTTAACAGGATTACTAAAGTACAAACAGTGTTAGAAATACTCACCAATGAAATTACTCAAATTCTCAACCTCCTAACAAAACAACACACACAGGTACAGGCAACAATAGACTAGAATCAACTAACCCTAGATTATCTTTTAACCTCAGAGAAAAATGTGTGTAAAAAATTTAATCTTAACAGATTGTTATCTAAAAATAAATAATATAAAAACAAATCAAATTAAAGAAAGTGAGGCTCCTTAACATCTAAGTAATACGAAGGAGCCTCAAAGGGGGGAATGAGGCAGGAGAAGGAAATGAAGGGAACATTAACAATGAATTACAACCTTTGCCCAACCTCAGGTGGGAAGTTCTGTTGAGCAGTGAAACAACTTGCTGTGAGGCCAGAGACATAGGGCTTGGGCCGCTTGAAAAACCATGTACAGAGAGCGGAAAATTCCTCTGCCCTGCTTCTCCTCCCTTCCTCCTCTACCCATACTCCCCTTCCTCCCTCCCACTGGGGCCCGTTTAACTTCTGCAAAAACTGCTAGCCACAGGTGCTCTTTGTGCAGGTAACCAATCACCCTCTCACCTCGAGTACCCAGAAGAAGGACCCCATACAAAGCCCATGTGATCATTGTTCAGGGCTCAGTCTCTGAAGGTGAATCCACTGAGTCTGTGCTAACACACGGAAATAAAGGTCCTTCCTTTTGTCACCATCCTGCCTGGCATTAGCGTTTCCCTTAAGGGCTTCGGTAACAGTAAAACAAACCTCTGGCCGTCAGGTCAGTTCCAACTCATGATGGCCCCGTGTGTTACAGAGCAGAGCTGCTCCTCAGGGTTGGTTTTCTTGGCTGCAGTCTTTAGGGAAGCAGATCACCAGGCCTTTCTTCCATGGTGCCACTGGATGGATTTGAACTGTCAACCTTTACGTTAGTAGTCAAGCACAATTTGTGCCACCACCCAGGGTCCTCAGAGATAGGATGTTATTGCTGTTGTTGTTGGGTATCGACTCTGACTCATAGTGACTCTCGTGTGACAGAGCAGAACTGTCCTAGAGGGTTTCCTAGGCTGTCATCTTTCCAGCAGCAGACTGGCAAGTTTTTTTCCTGTGGAGCCGCTGGGTGGGTTTGAACCACCAAACTTTTGGTTAGCTCCACGGACCCTTGTGAAAATTCCCCAGGGTTTACACCCAGGAGGGTGATTGCTGGGTCACAGGGCATCTAATTACCCTAAACATGCAGAAGGAGTTCAGAAGGATGCACAGAAATTAGCTAGAACAAGGATAAAAGAAAGGGGACTCCAGCTGGGCAACTGACAACAACAACATTAAGAAAGAAGAGAGGAAGCAGGGGTGGGTGGGGAGAGGGGCATCAGCCCACTGTCGGCTCAGCAGGGAGCTCAGAAGCACTGGACACAATGAGGGGCCTCTCACAACATCGCCTTCATCAATGACCTTGGCTCAGATGCTGAAGTGGCTCAAACCCCCTTCTCATAGCTGGGCAGGTTGTTGCTTCTCAAAGCGGGATCTAGGGGCGCACTGAGTGTGGGGCCTGATGGGGATGGACAAAGCCCAGCTTTTCTCAGTCCTGATTGGGCTTCAAGTGAGGAGCATGATATGAGCGGAAGGGAGAAGGGAGGGTGTTAGGAAGAGAGGACAAGAGAGGTCTGGGAGGGGCTCACACTCTGGGATTAAATCCCAAAGAAGCTAGTGGCCCAATCAGCCTTCTCAGAAGGGGTAGGGTAAGGGTGGTGCGTGGACAGAATTCTGATCCAAAGGATTTGTTAGGAAAGAGTGTGTGTTGGGTAACAGTGTTACTCCAACCCTATATGAGCAAACTAGGTAAACAAGTGTGGAATGTGATTCCGAATTTATCATCTTCCTGACTTTTAGCTGTCCTTCCTCATAGTCTTTGGCTGCTGCTTTTACTTCTGGCAACAGTACAAAATCAAAAGACCAAGGGGATAAAACCACCACCACCACCAAAACAAAAACCCCAAACTATTCCAGGGCCTTTGTGATTTGCCTCTTTTTTGACAGATGTCAACAGAGATATTTGTCTTCTGTAATCTCACCATTTCCTGGCTTTCGGGCACTGTGCCCTCTGGGTGTCCTTCATCTCTTACTGTCTCCTCACTGGCTCCTCCTCCTCTTCTTCCCAGCAGATGGCCCCACCCTCTACATCCTGCTCTATGGCATTACACAGCCTCCCTCAGAGGTTTCGCTCTGCCTCCAGCTTCAGCTCCTGTCCCTGGGCCCTTGGAGTCACAAATCACATCTCCTGAGATCCCTCAGCCAGCTAGGCTTAGCAACCTTCCCATCCACTCACTGACACGCCTCGCTTAGATGTCCCCTTAAGCTCCACATGTCAGAGAGAGACTCACGTCCTCTCTTCACACCCTCTGTGTGAAACAACAGTCCTTCCTGACAGGCCTGCTGCTGTCCCAGCCCCGTTGGCTTCCTTGTTCCAACCTTGGAGTTACATAACTAACAGATGCCTCTCGGTAAGCCAGCAGCCAACAGATCCTGCGGATTCTCTTTCTGCCCTGTTTAGTGCTTTCCGTTTCCACAGCCCCCACCAAGATCAGGCACTGAACATTCCTTTCGGTATCAATGTTGAGGCCTCCCAATTGGCTCCTTAAAACCAGAAAACCAAACCAGTTGCCATCATGGCAATGCCGTGTGTGTCAGAACCGTGCTCCATAAGGTTTTCAATGGCCGATTGCTCAGAGGTAGATCACCAGGCCTGTCTTGCGAGGAACCTCTGGGTGGACTTGAACCACCACCGTTTGGGTTAGCAGCTGAGCACATTCATCAGTTGCACCGCCCAGGAATGTGATTGGCTGCTAACTCCCATGGTTTCCCTGACATGCTGTCAGCCAGACAGAGCCTTCTTCTCATAACGTAGTGCCTCTGTCCTGATAAAATACCCAGAGTGTGTTCTTAAAGGGCAAATCCCAAGCCTGCAGGCAAAGTTGTCCATTAACTAGCTCTATTTTATCTGTTTTATTTTCATACTTAATAAATAAATATCTATCGTATTCACATTGTTATTAAATGAAATTTGTGTGCCCAGGCAAAAACCAAAACCTGTTGCTATGGAATCAATTACAACTCATAGCAATCCTATAGGACAGAGTAGAACTACCCCATAGGGTTTCCAAGGCTGTAAATCTTTACAGAAGCATATTGCCACATCTTTCTTCTGGGGAGCAGCTGGTGGGTTTGAACCGCAGACCTTTCGGTGAGCGGTTGAGCACTTAACCACTGTGCCACTTTGTCACCCAGTTGTGCTGAGGCAGGAGAGATGTAAACAGGAATGGAATGCGATTTTTGCCATATTCGGAATAGCTGAATAGTCCACTAGTGCAATACAAGGACTTACTACAGTTTAATGAGGATTCAGTATGAAAAGTGATACAGCCTAGATGAGTCACGGTCCCATGACAGTCGTGGGGAGAAAACTGGGAGCAGGAGAGATTTTATAGATGACGAAAATGTCCCGCCAGCATGTTGAAGGAGGAGCAAGCGTTGGCCAGCAATTGGTGGCTCGGACTGTTCCATTGAACTCACCAGCTCGCTGGACTCAGTCAGAATTACCTCTACCCTTTCCAGCCCCTTCAGGGGCTTCCCAGTCTTTGCTAATTCAAATTCTGCTTCTTTCCAAGTTCACCTCAAGACTAATTTCTCCCAAGCCTTTCCTGGCACTTAATCTTATCATCTCTTTTAGACGCTGCACAATGACATCATTTCTTAACCAGAACCCTGGCACGACTCCGGAGGGCAGAGGTCCTCAAATATGAACATGCATTTGAATCATGATGTGATTCAGTGGGGAAAGCACAGGCCCAGGAACCTGCATTTTTAACACTCCCACCCACCCCCAAGTGATTGAGACCCAAAGAGATGCGGAACCACTTCCAGAAGCATGCTTTTGCACATATGTCCAGTCAGCAGTGCCTAGCAAAGTGCGCGCTGCTAAATGCTCTAGGCTCCAAGCGCGCTGGGTGACTATTTGATGCTTCGATTATTAATGGTACCCGGAGAGTCAAATGGGTTGCACTGCTCTCTCCGGAGTTGACTAACTCCTGAGGCATAAAATCTCTGAAAGTCGCTGGTAGGGCAAGAGGAAATTACATTTTCTGTGCTTTCAAAAAAGGCGCAGCCATCACCCCAAATTACCTTAGTGCTTCTCCACTAAATTATGCTTTCAGAATATACAGAACGCACCGCAAATTATACGGCTTAGAAAAGAAAAGCCTCCACTCAATGCTTCCAGCTACAAACATCACAAAACTGTGTAATTGTAAGAGGCGGGCAATATTGTAGGGCAAACGCGTCCGAAACAGGGATTCGTAAAATCTAATGCCACTCGAATCACTAGAATCTGAAAATACATGGAAGCAGAGATTGCCCTAGACGACCTTTCCCACGCCTTTGGGAAGGCAAGAGGCCCATAGTGACGGATCCTGGACCTTGCTCGCTGGTCCGCTGGGGGCGGATCCCGGACGGCAGCGTGATGACGTCACGTGCGTGGGGACGCCCGGCGCGTCGTCCCGCGCGGAGCTGGGCTGGCGGTGGCGACTGTGGCTGGTTTCGGTTCTTGAGCTGAGGTGTTTGGGTCTGTTCCTCCGCCCTTCGCCCTTCGCCCGGTCCTGGTGTCCGCGGCCCGGCGCCGGCCCGTCATGGTGCTGTCGGCCCGCCCCGCGCGGCCCCGCTGAGCCTCCGCGCGGCGGCGAGCGCGGCTTCGGGTCACCATGCCCACCCGTGAGTGTCTGCCGAGGGTCGGGCCGGCCGGGGGCGTCGGGAGGCGGTGGCCAGCTCGGCGAGCCCTCCGATGGTCTTCCGCCTGGGGCGGCTGGGGGAGCCGGGGGGTGGCTGGGGAGAGTCAGGAAGTGCCCGCGACCTGCCTGCCGATTTAGTTTCGTTTAGGCTTGGCTTTCACCGGGGCTGGGGCTCCAGCCTCGTTGCGCGGATGGGTAAACTGAGGCCCAGCTGTGACGGGAAGGGACTAATGAGGTGCCAGAGCTGGTGACAGCTTGGCCCTGTTGGACTTACGCGTGTAATCTCTTTCCTGGGCTGTGGCCGCTACACAGCGTCCTGGGACTCCTGGAAATGCAGAAAATCGCCGCGATTCGCTCGCCCTTGCCTGCTCACTTTTCCCAGGTGGCAGGCGCCGGCGCCCAGAGTCCTTCCCCCGGCACCCCGGGGTCCCCCGCAGGCTGGCCTCTGTCACCGTCCGTAACGCATCCGAGGTGGTTGTAAGAGATGCCCTTTGGGGCGCTTGTTAGGCGCAGATGGGGCGAAGTGTGCCTCTTGGGCTTTATATTCACCTGGGCAGGTGGTTGTTGAAAATGCCAGGTTAGGGCGCCTTCCTAGACCTGTGGACTAAGACCCTGGTGCTGGGGCCCAGGAATGCGAATTTTTAACAAGCGCCTCAGGTGTCACTGATGGACTCCAAAGTTTGAAAATCAGCGGGCCAAGGTAGTGGCTTTTCTGCATCCTGGACAAACGAGGCACAGCAGTACCACTAATGACCCATTTTTAAATGACCCAGATAGTCGCAGTGTGACTTTAAATCCAGTGTCCCATATGGGTGTGTGCAGACTAGGGAAGTTCCTGGGCTAGGACAGAGCAGGAAGCTTGATGGTGCTAGAGTTGAGGTTCTTTTCTTGATTTGAGAAGTATACCATGTTGCAGAATCTTGAAACCCTTGTGAAAATGTTCCCAGCTAGTTGATATTTCTTCAGATTCGTAATTAACTCCTTTTTCTAATTGTCCTTATTTTTGTAGCCATATGGGACACTTTCCAGGTCACCCTCAAATCCATGTTTTGCCTTGTCTTGGGTAAAAGGGAATCATTTTGTGATACTAGAAAGTTTTTTTTTGTAATGTTATGGAAGATCCTTCAATCTTGCAGTAAAGATGATTTTTAACTCCTCATCCACGTGTGGGTAAGCTGGACTTAGTTTTCTTTACATAGTGCTGTGCATTCTTAGCTCGTGGTATTGGACTCCACATCCAGTAAATATGTCAACAGTATGTATTTTAATTTTATCCCTCCAGGCTGGAGAAATAACATCATCAGCGTGATTGTCCGTTTATTCTAAATTCATGTCCTCGTTATTCGGTGACTGAAATTAACTGTGCTAATTAATCTTTACTTTCTGAGAAAGCAGATGGGAGGGGATAAACCTATTTCTTGAAAGTTAAGGTTTCAAATGAAATTTAATGATCAAAAGGCAATATAAGCAGCCTATAAAATTAAAAAAAGAAATTCGTTATGTTCTAGGATTCTCCAGCTTCACTGAGTGGTCCTAGAAACCTTGTTTCTTTTAAAATACTTGACTGACTCTGGGCAGTGACTTTAAGTAGGATGAACCATGGTGTTTTGCTTAGTTAGGAATTCAAGTTTCATGCCTGGCCTGGCAGGCAAGTGTGGTGCTTGAGTTCAGGTGTCCGTCTGCCATTGTTATGCTAATGTCTGTCGTGGTACGTTTTCCACCATTGAGTAAATTTTGGTACAGATTCAGGGCTGCAGTGGGAAGTCAGTGGTGTTCGTGTTGTCTCTTCTCTCCTTTCATGGCCAGAGTTGCCAGCATTGCTGGCATGGTGTGCTGCTTGGCAGAAATTCTGTGTGTACATGCATCTGCAACATGGTAAGGACATAAGCAGGAACTGCCAACTTACTCTTTGCTTTCAAAATGTTTTTTAGGAAGAAAACCCTCTTTAAATAAGTTTAGGTTTGGTTTTGTTGTTTTTTTAACTGTCAAATGAATTGAGAGGTTTATTTACAAGCTCAGCCAGTTAATGCTTAAGGATTTAAGCTAAGTAAGCTTAAATTTAAGCTTTTCTTTGAAACGAAGGCCTGGGAGATGATCACTAGGGTCTCAGAGCCTAAAATTCTGACAGTGATCTCTGCACTAAGCCATGCAGTTATTCCACTGATTTTACAGTATACTTCCTTGTTTGGGATTTTGGTACTCAGTACTGAGACTGGTGTTGGTCAGTATAATGCAGGCAAGCACAGTGTGTGCTCAGAGGATAACCAGTTTGAATTAGCTTCCTTGGCGCTATCCTAGATTGTGGACTCTTTCTGAGAAGGTGGTTACCTGAGTGAATGCCTGGCAGGGAGCTGCCCAGGTATGGGGCTGTTGTGTCCATGTCACTCTGAATTGAGCCTGTGGTCTGCAGTAGTCACTAGGCACAGATTTCAAGACTATTTCATGGAATGATTTTTTTCAGACCTATAATCTGACACATCATTTCTCTAAAAGCCATTATTTTCACCTCCACTGAAGTGACCATTAAGGAGCGTTTTGATCTTTAAGCTTTTCAGACCCTGAATCAGGATTCGAGTTGCAGTGAAGGTAAAGTTTCTCAATCCAGTCATGTTATTTTGCATATTAGAAGGCTGAGACTTGGTGAGTTTCAGTGACTTGGCTGAAGTCACCCATGGAGTACACCAGGACTGGAACCAGATCTGGCCGGAACCACCATGAACATAGATGATGGGTATTTTTTTCTAGTGCTAAGTTCATAATAGTTTAGCTTTTTCCATTTGGAGTTAAACTACAGAAAATGTAAGCCTGGCCAAGAGTTGAATCAGACTGTGAGCTTAGAAGAAAGGTTAGCATTTTGCCTTTGCTTCTGCTTCCGTCTTGTTCCAGAGTTCTGTGGGAAGGAGGCTAAGTGTGCCAAGTATGGTATGCTAAGTAGTAGATTGGTGTTCCAGGGACACACATGAACTTTTCTGCAAACTGCTGTATGGAAGGGCTCCTCGGTTTACAAGTAACTTGCCTGCAAGCCTACCCAGTAAAATGTACTCTCTTATTACATATGAAAAGTATTGTCTATTGGCTCGGGGAGATGGGAGTTCTGAGCCATCGTTCACTCTTACAGCTGCGCTGTCAATAATTGCTTGTGGTCACTGCTTGCGTTTTGCCTTTGCAGATTGACACCGAAACTCGGTGCATTTGTTGGGCTGTGGTAATGTGGTCATTCCTTGTTTGTGTGTGTTCCCTTTGATCAGCCTGATTGTATTGAACTTATTTTCAATCCATTCTTAGGAAAGAAATGCAGAGTGTGGATGAACTGTGAAGGCTGGTGCTGGTGAAGCGTTTCTGTTTAGAGGCACATCACATGCAGACTTAGGAACACTTGGCCTGAGCGTCCCTGTTCCACACGTGTGGGCCTTTCTGGGTTGGGCCCGTTTGGGTTCTCACTATCCTCACCCAGCACCTGTGTTGACGGCCGGAGCCGCAGCTGAGGACCCTCCTGCCCGTGCTGACCTTTGCCTTGCCAGGGCTGCAGGTGCCTGCATCTCACCTGTCCGGCTGACCCCCCTCACGCTCAGGGACATGACCACAATCCACGTCAAGTGGATTCTGACGCATGGTGGCCCTGTATGTGTCCGAGCAGTGGCTGGCTTTTCAGAAGCATATCACCAGACTGTTCTGAGATGCCTCTGGGTGGAGTCAAACCACCAACCTTTCAGTTAGCAGCCAAGTGTGTTAACCACGGACACCACACAGGGACTCCTCTTACAGACTTACCCACCTACAGCCATCGAGTCGATTCCAGTCATAGCAGCCCTGCAGGACAGAGTAGGAATCTGTACAGAAGCAGACTGCTTCATCTTTCTCCTGCAGAAATAGCTGGTGGGTTTAAATCACCGGCCTTTTGGTTAGCAGCCGAATGCTTTAAGCACTGCACCACCAGAGCTCCTTCTTAGGGTCATAGGGCTACATGAATGGTTACGTAGGTGGTGGGAGATAAGGCTCTAGAGGGACATGGGAGCCCGAATTTGAAGGGTTTGGTTTGCCATACAAAGAAGCACTTGACTTGACATTATGTCCAAGCTGTTATGATCATAGTACAGCAGCTGTCTGTTTTATAAGCGTATTAACAATTTCCGACTTACTGATTATAAAAACCACAAAGAAATTGTTGTTTGTAATAGCAATTTATTATTGAATATGGATTGTTGTCAGGCAGCATGCTTTGTGTTGCGTGTATTATCTTAACTTATTTCTCACCCTTGAAGGGAGAATCTCTTCAGCCTCTTGTGGAAGTGGAGAGACTGAGGTTCAGGGAGGAAGTCAGGTAACCTGTCTAGTGACAGGAAGTGATAGAGCTGGGATTGGAACTACATCATCTGACTTCAGAGTCCCAGGTTCTTTTTTTTCAGGCAGAAGTTCAATTTACAGTCATCAGATCCTGTCAGTTTCTTTTAACGCCGAGTCCCTTGTGGTTAGTACCGTGCCTAGCACATGATGCTTGATAAATGTTGAACAAATGAATGATTGCATCCTCCCTGCACAGCAAGCAAAGATGAGGTGCAGTAAACAAGGGGTGGAGGTTTAAATTGGTGCAGCTCTTTGAGGAAGTAGTTTTGACAATATGCTGTTAAGTACTCTAATAATATTTATGTTCACTGACCCAGTAACGTCACTTTTGGGACTCTGTTCTTTAGAAATGATTAAACACGTAGACAAAGATTTTTGCGCTAAGATAGCTGTCAGGGTATTAATGTACAATAATGAAAACCCAGAAACTGCACTGTCCAGGAATGGGGAAGTGGTGGAAGTTAAATATAGAACATCCTTACAATGAAGTGTTCAGCAACCATTTAACATGCAATTTCTGAAGCTTTTCAGTGGCAGAGGACCATACCTAATGAGAAATGGTAAGTGGAAAGGAGGATGTCTGACCTTGCGTCAAACATGGGAGAAGAGATTTAAAACCGTCACTCTCCTGGTGCTGGA